CCCGCCTCAGGGGTCCCGCCTCAGGGGTCCCGCCTCAGGGGTCCCGCCTCAGGGGTCCCGCCTCAGGGGCGGCTGCCCCGTGAGGGGGAGTGTGGGGCTCTGGTGCTCCCCGTCCCCTCCCCAGCCCACTCGCATCACGTACGTTCCCTAAATTACAGAAGTTATAAAGGCTTCACTCACTTAATCCTGTTGTTCCCTCTGTTCCACTTATAAAACCCAAATACCCGTGCTCTTCCCACCTGCCAGCTTTGCTCAGCGTCTCTGACAAGACCAACCTGGTGGAATTTGCGAGGAGCCTGCACGCACTCGGCCTGGGTTTAATTGCCTCCGGAGGAACAGCCAAGTCCCTGAGAGATGCTGGCTTGCCTGTCAGGTACACATGCTCCCCTGGACATCTCCACAAAAAGGCTCATTTGGGCCCTGAGGTTGCTTAAATTGTTTTCTCTGTGAGCAAAAATGGCCTGAAAGCAAGTCTTCCCTTCAGAAAAAAAAAACCAAACATGCCCTAAAGCAAACTTCAGAGGCTTCTTGGCCAGGAGTTGGTTTACTGAGGCTGAAGAACGTTACTGTGCAGGTCAGCACACCGAGAGGTGTCAGGAGCCTTGTGTTGGAGGTGATGCCTTGTCTGCCTTGAGGCAGCTTTGTTTCCGTGGGAGAATCTGTTATCTTGAGTTCATAATCTGACCCTAGTGCTGCTCCTCGCAGCCAAGTGCAAGCTCATCTTTGCCTGGTCTTGCCAGAGTTCATTTGTCACAAATAATTTTCCCAACACAGTGGTCCACTGATCCAGACAGAGCATTTAAGTGTTGTGCATCCACCATTTGAGAAGGTGCATGTACAGTCAAGCTGGTTTGGCCAATGATTCGGGGGAAATTCGTTCTGGTTTCTTCCGTGCTGTCATTAAAAAGCCGTTCTGGCCAAATAGAAATGGTTTCCAGTGCAGTGATGAAAAACCTGTCAATTATTTGGCAGGACAGGTGACTGTGACTCTGTTTTGGTTCCAATGAATGCAGTGGTAGGCCTCTGGGACACATCAGCACGAATATACATCACCCCCAGTGCTCCCTGTCCTTGGTCATGTTTCTCCAACTGCTTTGCTTGGCTGTGCTGTCAGTGAAGTCTGAAGCAAAGATGGTCACATTTCCACTTCCGTCTCCTTATTGTTCCTTCACCATCCTAAACAGTCACAAGGAGTGGTGAAACTTTAATTAATGTCTTATTTAAGCTGAGAAGAAGAGCACTGAGGTGTTGTATCACCTTAGCATGGCCTTCTGTTCTCTCTATAAACCATGTTGACTTGGGATTTGCTTATCTTGGTTATTCCAGTGTATGTATTTGAGAAATAACTGTGCTGCTTAGTTGAGTGTGACCCATTAACTTTATTTCCATTCATGGGAAAAGCAGTTGTTGCCCCTTTGGCATAGGGAGGTTTTGTAGTGAAATTTATGCAATTCTTTTGGTTTGGTTCACTCAGCCTATAGATAAAGTCAGTATGGCACATCTGTTACCATCTGTTTTCTCCCTGAGCAGAGATGTTTCGGACCTGACAGGCTTCCCTGAGATGCTGGGTGGACGTGTGAAAACCCTTCATCCTGCAGTCCATGCTGGTATATTTCTGCTATTATATTTTTCAGTCTAAAAGAGAAATGGGCAGTGAGGGTGGGAAGAAGAAGTTGACAGATGTCTTTTTTTAAGGGTTGTGTGGAAGAACCGAGTAATGAGAACAGATTTGTTGTAGGAGCTGGAGGAGAGGTGAAAAGCCACGGGGTGGAGAAGTGCACAGGGGTGGAGAAGTGCACGGTGGCTGAATTACTTGCTTGTTGCTGTGCTGGCGTCTGTGCAGAGCTTGTTCTCCCCGGGGCTATAAGTAACAGAGCTTTTCTGTAAAAGCCTTAGCACATCCTTTGCAGAGTCAGTTGCAGGCGTGTTGAGGCAGAGAGCTCCATGGAATTTAACCTGTGGATGAATCTGGTATGCAGCATAAGGAACACGACAGCATAGTCTTTAGTGGGTGATTTCTGCATACTCTGATATTCTCTGGCTCCTCTTCAGCAGAGATCTTTGACAGTCCATCTGCACATTAATCCATCTGCTCTTTTGTCTCCTGTTCCTATGCTGGAGATCCCTGGAGTGGAACCTGTTGTCCATCATACCTGGGGGCTGGAGACAGTCACTGACCGCCTCAAACCCAGGATTGAGCTGTTGCTTACACTGTGCCAGCCTGTCACCTGCCTGTTTCTCCAAGTTCCTAGACCCAAGCCAGCCACCTACACTGCTCAGCTAGAGGCATAGCCTCTTTTGCTTCCCTTGTGTCATAGGGCAGGTGCTCTTTTTCTGTCCCATGAACTCCTTAATGACAGTTTTAATGTTTTAAGAGTAGCAACTGAGTGCTTATAAAGTACGTTTTTGAAATTGTTGTTCAGTAGTTGGAATGGTCTAGGAATTATCATTAGGGGAAAAACAGCTGTTAGTGTGGAATTGGAACAGCCAAGGAGTCTGTAAAATGGAACAAAGGAGTAGGAGCTGAGGGTATTGTCTGAACTAGAATCAGAAAGTTTATGATAGAAAGTCTCTGAGGAAAAGCACAGTCTTAAAGAAGATATTGAATTAAAAAGCTGGTGGTGATGTAGCTCTTCTTCAATGAAGATGTACTGTTTTTTGTAACTAGGCATCTTGGCTCGCAATATTCCAGAGGATAATGCTGATATGAAGAAACAGGATTTCAGCCTTGTAAGGTAAATGTTGGGGGACATGATGCAAACCATGAGTAATCAAAAACCAATATTGGAGACCAGGCAGCACCAGAGAATGGGAGCAGTAGGGATTGTAACATCTGCACACCGGGAGATCTGCAGTCTCCTTCCTTCACTGTACCAGGAGATACTTTGTATTTAAAATTGTAATCTAAAGATGCATCTTCATCACTTGTAGTAAGAGAAAAGTAAACCAGGAAAAAGTTACATTGTGGCTTCCACAGGGAACAGAGGTTTTGCTTTCTTCTGGTTCTCTGGGAATTTTGACACGTTACATTCAGTCAATGTAGCTCCACATTACACTTATTGCAAAGTTGAGTTGAGTACTTTTGAAGCTGGCTCGTCTCCCCTCAGCTTGGTTCCACATGTCCCATCAGATGGCAATTCCTGATTTTGAAATACTTGCTTAGTAAATATACCCTTTGATATTTGCATAATGTTTACTGAGTTTCAACACATAAATAAAGAATAGACACAAGAAGTGGGTCAGGAACACTCAGCATTTGTTTAGCCAGAAAACACATAGATAAGAGACAGAAAACTTAAACTTTGAGAGCCATCATGGGAGCAAGTGAGCTGCAGCCAGAAACTGAAGTAAAACAGTTTGTGCACTAATGTACCAAAGATTGTTTTTCTGTTTTTGTTAGAACCTGGTTCATTGACACAGGGCAGTTTGGGACTATGTGTCACTAACTGGTGTTAACATCTAACCAGTGCTTGTGAGTAACCAGCTGTATGTCAGTGAGTTGCTCCTGGTTTAGAAACAATGGCTGAGCTGGACACAGTGAACTGTAGGTATAGCCAGGATGGGAGATGCAGTACGACTGTGGGGCCAGAATGCATCCTAAGTTTTAAAATTACTTTTAAAAACTGATGGATGGATTTCCAGGCTGAATTTGAAAACCTGAAATTTAAAACCACAGGAATCCTCATAGATGGCTCAGCAGTGGTGGCTCCTCAGAGCAAGCTGCATATTAAAGCAGGCTCTGCTGAATTGCAGGGGGAATAACATGCCCTTACATCAGTGACTTATAGTGCACTTGCATCCAGAGTAATAATTTGGATTCAGGTTCTCTTACAAAAAGCAGAAGTAGCTGATCCTCAGCAGGACTGTCTTTGCATAGCTGCATGAAATTTGCATATCCAAGTCAATGTAGGAAAGCTTGATATTGATTGTCTGGATTTCCACAGATAAAAGCATTAGAAGTGTTAAAGTCCACAGATTCCTGATGGTTTGCAACAGGTTAGGAGCATGAATGGATTGAGGGGAAAGGGGTATTAGAAACAGAAGAGACAATAAAAGACATTGTAGGAAATTTAGGGACATGGGGGTTCTGAAAGCCATAGTGGAAGCTGATCATCCCTTCTGCTGGAGTTCACTCCGAGTGGGAACAAAGCATTATTAGAAGTTGAACACAAGGGTACTCATCACAGCAATTCACTGCCAGTACTGGGCACACATTGGAGTTCAATACCTTCATGTATTCAGATCAAGAGAGTAAATTAATTCGCTTGGATTAAAAATCTTATTTGTGAAGGTCAGAACAAATCCCTTCTTTCGCTACAGTTCATGTGGCACTGGTAGGATGGGACAGGGCAAGTTATTACTTCATGCTTGCTGGAATACAGACCTTCTTCCAGATCAGATGAAAAAACTAATTCCAGTAAGGTCCAGTCTTAGCTTGAGAGGAAAAAGTCAATTTTCCCCCCTGCTTTCATGTGCTACAGAGGCTTTGTGGGATGTGGGTGGCACGCTCAGGTTTAATATGTTGTTGGTATTTTAAAAGTCCAGAAGGTGATATTGTAGGTCATTTTCTGCTCTTGGAAAAGTTATGGAAAATTGGATTGATTGTACTTTGTTTGCAATGGCCCTTGCCCTGGGTGCTTACTGGGTGCCTGTTTTCAGTACTGCTGAGAACGCACTTTGAAGTCCTTTGAGATGGCTCAAGTTGTGCACCAACATCACTGAACATTTAAATACAGACCCACATATTCAAAGATTCTCTTCCTTTAAGCTGGCTTATGTAAATTGTGGTTCTAGCATTGTTTGATACACAGAACCCAGTTAAATGTCAGAATACACTGTACCATCACTTGGCCTTTGGCTGAGCGCCACCATGTCTTAAGTCTTTTGGAGAAAGAAGTCTTGGCCACAGGATTT